GTGGCGTGGGGGTAGGAAGGGCTATGAGTCAGGAAGAGAAGTTTCCATAGCTTTTATCAGCTTCTCTCATGGTCCCCTAGTAAAAAGACAACATTTTTTTTTTTTAAACAGTTATTTTGCACTGAACATCAAGGGTTTCTTATTAATAAAAGAAAAACTTTCTTGTAACACAAATGTGTTCTATTCATTATTTCAACAGCTATCATAGAGTAAATGCTTACTATGTATCAGGAACTGTTCCAGGCTCTGAGGATACAACAGGGAAGGAAACAGACCACACCGCCACCTCAGGGAGTTTGTGTGCAAACACAAGGACACCCCAGTATACAAGGGACAAGTAAAGCAGGGAGGTTGGTAGGTGCAGTTTCAAATGGGGTGGGAGAGGAAGTCTCCCTGAAAGGATATCATTGAATTAAGACGAGAACAGGAGAGAACTGTTGGGGGAACCTGGAAATGTTTCTTATCTATATAATGATACCTTATTGAACGTTCTAAAATGTATTTTAGCAGTAGAAAGAATTGCTCCTTTGAAAATATTAGTAAGCACAAGCAAGAAAGTAAACCCCTCATGGTTCCATCACCCACAGAATTTGTATATCCTGTCAGACCTGTGTATGTTCACGGGTACAGCTCACCCAAGCATTTAGTCCGTGGGATGCTGTTTGAAAGGATCTGGCTTGGGGTGTGGAACACGTTATTGTCGATGGCTGTGTGGATGTATCGTCTTTAGCTGAGACACCGAGAGATGTGTAGGATGTAAAAAGTTTGTCACGTGTTCTTGCTTTGCACCCTCCAGAGCGGAGGGGTGGCCTCCCTCGGGCTTGTGCCTGTGAGAAAAAGGTCGTCCTGGTGTCTCCCCTACCAGGGAGGCTGAGGCCAGGACAGCAGGCCAGCTCTGGGGAGGGAGAGAAGCTCACCTTGAGCCAGTTGTTTATAGCACGTCTCCCAGGCCATTGGTGCAGTCATGCCTGAGCATTATATTTAGGTTACATATTCAGTGGACAGCAGGACAGGAAGTGAGCAATGTGGGACTCCTGGGTGGCCTTGACAGTCACGACAGTGGTGGCTTATGACACATGTTTGGGTTAAGACAACTCCACCATGTGGCTCCAGGGATGGATGGACCTTGGTCATCCTGCAGCCCGTCCTTTTATTTATTTATTTTTTTAAATTTTAAATAAGCATTTTCATGAATCTTAAATGTTCCAAAATAATGCCTAATTTAGTATGTGAGTCACAAATCTTTATTGGGACTTGTCCTCTGGCCTTTTCTGTTTCCGAAAGTGAAGGGTCTTGAACATGGGAGAAGTGAGGTCTAAAATACCAGCATAGCTCTCGTCATGGGGACTTGCGGGCACATCAGAGCAGACTGGCTACCGTGACCACAGACTCCAGTCCTGCCTTCTCTCCACCCCAACCCAGTGTCATGCTTCCAGTTCTGCTGAGGGCTAAGTCCGTGCAGGAACTCAGCTGAAAGTAAGTCCTATTGGTCACTGAATCGGAAGGTTGCTTGGGGTGGTTGACAAGATCATTTGGTGCTGTGTATAGAGATGAAGGGACTCAACTCTAGAGACTGGGAGGGGATGAAGGGAATGCAGCCCAGCCTGGAGTTTGCAGTTGGGTTTATAAGTCTGGGGTAGTGAGCAGGAGATGCCGAATGTGTGTGAGAAACACTTATCTGTGTACCACAGCTGAAACTTGGGACTTGTCCACTCCTGCACCTAATGTTGCCTTGAGTAATGCATCAGCACTTAGATGCAATTAAGTGTTCATCAGCCCAGCCGTATGAAAAGAACTTGTTCGCTCACAGGCTTCTTGCACTGACATTTACTTATGACTCAGAACTTCCCCTGTGTACAGGTGAAGAGATGTTAAGATTGACAGCCGTGAAGCAGTCCTACTTACAGTATAGGGGTTTTCAGAACACACTGCATTAAAGGTTTACTAGCATTTGTAGCATATACCACATCCTGGGCATAAGGTTAGAGGGCAAGCCCTTGTCCTGAGGGGGCTCACTGTTTAGGAGAGGAAATGCCAGTGTGTGTCGGGGGCCACCCAGGACCAGGCGAGAATGACCTGTTCCTTTCAGAAGACTGGGGTTCAGTCTGATCAGGAGGGATGGCCTGTCCCACTACGTGGACTCTACCCACTGGACAAAAAGACTTTTTCAAGTCAGACATTTTATTTAACCAAAATAGTATTGTGACACTGTTAAATTGCCAACACGTTTTTAAAAACTTGTAATAACCACATGTTCAAGGAAGGATTCAGATAAGGTTATAATGTGTGTACATTTGGTTTTCATAGACTCTTAAGGGACTTTTGACCTAGAGGAGTTCTCAATTCCCTTTTTTCCTGACCAGTTGAAGAACCACGTCAACACACGGTGTTCCATATCTGGGTCTAACACGTTGGTTTCCTCTCACATCATTCGCTTCTTCTCTGTATGCTCTAGCTTGGGTCTGAAGCCTTGGTTTAGAGGGAGGTTGGAAACGTTTGACAAATGTGTATTTTAGAAACACTCCTTCCCCAACTATTACTTCAATAGTGCCATTTATTTCATTCTTTTTGGCAATAGATGATTGGGATGGTTAGTTTTATGTCAGATAGGAAAGCTACAGGTGTTTTAAGATGCAAAGTTTGTGGTAATTTGATATCTCATGGGCTCCCTTATGGCCTCTAGAATAAAAGTTTCTTACAGTGGCATGGGAATGGGATGTGAGCAGGGGGCATTAGCCTTTTACACAGTCCCACCTACAGACTGTCCAACCTACAACATTATCTCTTCTCTTCCCTCCAGGGCCTTGGCTGCCCTAAGAAGGTCATCTTTTTACTAATCATTTCTTACCTTTGGCCTCAGCTCGGCTACTAACTCCAGTCAGCCATTTCCTGGGCCTCAAATGAAGTGTCCATAAGCTCTTCCTGGTCCATTCTATTCTCATCCATACTCAGTGTGTGTGTGTGTGTGTGTGTGTCTCTCCCTCTCTCCTCTCCCCCACCCCCATCTTACTAGCCCTGGGTGTCCTGGAACTTAAGAGATCCAGCTGCCTCTGCCAAGTGCCAGGATTAAAGGGATGCCCCAAATCTTTACTGTCACTATACCTTGGCATACCCACCTTCCCTCACTGGTCCACAGCTCCTGATGAGCAGGACCACCGTGAATCTACCTTGGAAGCAATGGCTTCTAGTACTCCACTCTGATCCTGTGGGCTCTCATCACTGTTCCATGAATAAACATAGCTGGGCTCCTCTTGGCTGTTCTCCCGAGAGCCTCAGCTCCCTCCAGCAATAATGTAGCTTCCTTTACACCATCTTCCTGAAGGACATCTTGAGACTGAGGTGAGGAGAATGACATTGGGGTCCACTGGACTGTGCCTGCCCTCTCAGGATCTCCTGCACTTGGTTGCAGCAGGAACTAGATTCTCAGACTGAACCCCAGGAGCCCCCGTGGAATCCAGGGTGGAATCCAGGCAGAAGTAGAGTGCCTTTTGCCTGCCCTGGCTTGTCTTCTTTCCCAAGGCAGAAGCTCCCAGGAAGTGGACAAATCAGATGTCAGCTCTGGGAGCTCTAAGACAGTAACGGCCTCAGAAACCAGTAATGGAAGCTCAGTGTTTGGCGACAGCGTGAGCTGGAGGCTTGGGACAGGCTTTTCCCACCAATGCCCATGATCTTCAGCCTCAGCCCCCTCTCCAATACGCTCCACCTTTATTTAATCTTAGGTCATCTTGGGTAACACATCTTTTATTTCTAACTCAATTGTCACCAAACGGCTGCTGTTTTCTACTTATGGAACTGTTCTGAGTTTAATTCTAAATCAAACCCCAGACTGTTTTCCCTTGCGGCCACCCCAGATAGGTTCTTACTGCTGACTCACAGATCTGGGGCTCAGAGACATCCCTTTGAAGAGAACCCCTCCCCCATTTGTGCCAATAATCCCACGGTAAGTGAAGCCAACTGTCCCATGACTCCAGTAGGCGCCCATGAAAGTTCTTTCACTTCATATTAGGAGAAAGTTTTAAATGAAGTGGGGTGTTTTTTTTTTTTTTTTTTTAATCCGGCTAGCTAATCATTTGTATGCTGCATATTAGCCCGTCGTGATTTGAAACTCTCCGATAAAACAGCTCCTAATGAAAATGCAGTGAGACGTAATGGTGGCGGGTCCAATGCTCACCTCTTTTATTGCAGTAATAGGGGTCTCATGCAGCTGTGGAGAACAGTGGCTGCCCCTGCCTAGAATTCAGCTGGAAAGATCAAGAGAGAGCCCTAATTGCCTTTCTTCTGAGATCAAACAATTGACTTAATTCTCCAGGCCTCCACATGGAAATGTGTTTGAGGAGATTCAAATGGGTTACTACAGAGGATTAAGGTTTTCTCTGCAGATTATACTTTTATGCCCTGTAGTTCATTGCTTGAAGTGTTAAGTAGTTTTGTCAAAATAAGCAGGGCTGGAAGGATTTTTAGAAACTTACAAATCACCTAAGTCTTGCTGAGTAACACAAGGGACCTTTTCCCCCCTTCTCCCTCTTTTTGTTTATTTATTTTTTAATTGAATGGTAGTGACTCGGGGGGTGTGGAAAAATCAGCCATATGAAAAGATCAGCTGGGAACTTCTAGAGTCTCAGATAAGAGGAGTACCAGCGTGGCAGTCTGTTGTATTTGACTCTTAAAAATTGTCTCACAAATGATGCAGTTAAAGAAGCCACATAAAGAGAAGGGATTTTCTCCTGAATGCTTAACTGCCTGCAGACAAAGTCCAAAGGGGATGTGAAATCCGACCCTGGAGGCCTCTCTGGAGTGCTCTGCTAATCAGTGTTATTTTACCCACTGAGAAGTCAGTTCTGCTTAAAGGACTTGGTGGCAGAAATAAGCTTTCATTTGCTTAAAAATGGAACATTCCCCAGAAAGGGCCCTTGTTAGCAAGCCATCAGTGGTATTGTGTCCTTGGTTCTCTCCACCTGTGACTGTTGGCCACTTCCTCTGACTGGCTCTCCTAGGATCCACGAGAATGGGTCTGCCCTAGTCCAAAAAGTTGCTCCTTGGAACTCATCCTGGTCATCAGCTGCCGAGAGAGTGCTGATCTGTTCACCCTTCTACTTGAGTCTTTTGGGTCATCGCTGGGCTTGGCCACACTGAGAAGCTGAATAGATGCCTGAATACAGTATAACAAAGAGCAGATGTAAGCTGCAGATGAGGTGAAACTCTGACGGTGACTGGCCAACCTTGATGTGCACTCGTGGGGGTTGTTTTGGGTTTCGGTTTTGTGTTCTGGGCTGGTACCGTCATTTACTTCTGGGTCAACTCCTTGTACCTGGGTCCTGGCAGTTGCCAAGGAAATTATTCTTTGACTTTGATTTCTCACAGGAATCTGTTTTTCTGGGCCTCGCTTCCATTCTTATAGGTAAGAAATCCATCAACAGACTGAAGGACTTGCCAATACTCCCAAACCACTAACAAAGGCTTTCAGAGCACCAGTTCACTCCCCAATGTTTGCAGGGTCCGGGAAACCTCATATATTATTTATGACCCCTCTCTCCTAGGAGGCGAATTGCAAGGCAAAGTTAAGTCGTACGGGTGGGGGTGTGAATTTGGCCCAGGCAAAGCAAAATCATGCAAAGGGGAGAGAAACCAAAAAAAACCCAGAGGGAAAGTGTGAGAGCTGGAGGCTGCCAGAGCCTGCTGGTTCTCAGAGCTGGGAGCACTGGAGCATGAGCACCATGAAGCACAGGTGTGGGGTGGAGCAAAGTCCAACCGGGTTAAGGATCATAAAGTGCACCCCCCCCCCCCCGGCGCTGTATCCTTCCTGACTCTCTGGAGATCGCATCAGAAAACTATTGATTGCTCAATCATACAAACCGCAAGAATAAAGGTAAGTGTTGACATCAATGACCGGAATGGCCCTAAAGAGAACTGCCACTGCACAGGTCTAGTTGTATCTGGGTCACGGTGCCGAGAGAAATTATATTCTTCCACCTCTGACATTTTGTATTTCCCATCCCTGTCACTTTTCCCCCTTTGGTCATTCACATCCTGATGGAACCCCCAAAATGGACCCCTCTGCTTTATCCATTCCCCAAGCCAAAGCTGCCTTTGTGTTTAGATCATTATCTCTCTGTTAAGTTCTCAACACTGATTAAACCCCTTAGGCAGCATGGCAGCCTCACAGTGAGGACTTAGAACGCCTTATATGCAGGTGCTGAATGACTGCTTGAAGATGGGACTCAGCTGACTTTGAAAGCCCAGATAGGCCATGATAAAGATTTTATAGACATTGACATTAGAATTCCATATAACTTTCACATATTAAAAGTATTATTTTGATTGCTTTTCAACTCTTTTAGAAGGTAGAAAACATTCTTGGCTTGGGATGATAACAAGCAGATGATAAGGCTAGATTCCATCCATGGGCCATAGCTTCATGACCTCTGCTTTGAGATTGAAAAATGCCACCAGGAAGCAAGCTGCATTCAAAGTGTATCGCGGTTCTTTCCTACCTCTGAAGACGTGCTAGGACAGTGGATAAAAATGCCGGTCATCAAAGCCTCAGATGCAGGATCAGTCCATGATCCCTGATGGGCAGACAACAGGACGGACTTACAGAATTCTCTGCTTTTCTTCCAGATAATGAGGCTGCAGGCCCAGACGCCTTTGTAATTTACACGGCACGTTCCTTAAACCCATGCCCTTTATCTGAAGTTGGCACCAGGGACCACGGGGGCGAGTCTGAGTTTTCATGACAGCGTATGATTTTCAAGGCATTTAACACACGTTGCCTCATCGAATCTTCAGAACAACCCGAGAGATAGAATAATGTTTTTCTTCATTTTTATGAATAAAGAGAACACAAACAAAACCAAGGCTTCGAGAAGTCATGGTGTTACTGCCTGAGGTCAGTCACCAGGAGGGAACGCAGACTGTCAGGAGCTGGGGAAAGTAACAAAGAGACTCTGAGTCTTGACCAACAAAGTAGATGGCCAGCCCAGAAAGCAGCAATCCTGCGGTCCCGTTAACATGAAAAGAAGTGGTGCGCGTACAAAGATGAAAAAGAAATGGAAGTCCTTGTTTGAATATTTTCAGAAATAGCCAGCCTTGTTTGTTGTAACCTAAAAGCATATCTTAAGGTAAAAGGGTCTAAAAGCTGAATAAATCTCAAAGATAAAAAGAATAGACTTCAAGGCAATAATTAGACTTCCCCCACGCAGTCTTCGGCTGCTTTTAAATGGCCGGTACTACTATGTGAGTTTTGGTAGTCTCGCCTATGTCCAAATCTTAAAGCAGGCAGCAAAGAGAATGTTAAGAAAACCACAGAGCTCAGGTTGAACATAAAGGGAAACATGAATTGGGACACAAAGCCTGGGATTGTGACCCTTTCGCACAGACCCGAAGGGGATCATAAAGGCCTGAGGCTTTAATGAACCACAGCAGGTTAGTGGTGAAGGCGATCCCGCTGCCCGCTTTGGGTAGCTTTCCTTCTGGGAAGAGGTCAGGGAAGTGGGGACAGCCTGCTGCTACTGTCTGCTTCAATCGAGGCCACACAGTGACATCACACAAACCCAAAGGTTTTTGAACACTACCCTCAGGAAGTGTCACTTGATGACAGAGCCGATGCCCTTGCTGGGTGCCGGCCGAGAGCAAGAACTTGGGAGTTGCACTAATCTGGGTTCAAATCCCCAGTCCTCTCTTACGTGTGCCTGTGGGGTACTTGCCTCTTATACGTATAGCGGATGACTTATAAAGGGTAATGTAGTCACCACAGCATTGGCTTATGGGGAGCCCTAAATAAGACAGTGCATATAAAATGCCTGCCACGTAGCAGGTGAATGGTACAGATAGGCTCTTGTCACTGGTGTTATTTGTCAGGCCAGTAGCAAACTTGCATGGCTAATGACTCTGGAGAGGCCAAGTCAGTTAGAGAAGGAAAAGCTTTGGATTGGGATTCAAGACAGGACATGCATATCAAATTCTGGCCATGGGGGAAGGCTGTTCACGAAGCTGGGTTGTCTTATCTTAGGAATAGAGTTCATAATGTCTGTCTCACAGGGTCACTGGGAGTATTAAGGAAGACAAGATAACTTTATAAGATTATATTGTTATATTGTATCATAAAAATGCTCAGGACAGCATCGCCAAATGCACACATTTATACATACCACATCTCATTCCATAAAAGATTTGAGACATTCTTCAAACCTCAGGCAAAGCCCAAAACCCACATAAGAAAAAATCCACACAGAATAATGAACTATAAATACAATGTAAAAATGAGGATTCAAGAAGAGGTGAAAGTAGGCACAAACAAACATTCAAAATTATTGGCAAGAAGATTGTGTCTACTTTCCCATTCAAACCGAATAGCAAATGTGTCTCCAAGTGTGCTGAGAGGCAAAGGGAAAAAAAAATGAAAGGTGTGACTTTTCATTCTTTATTGAAAGAATGCGTATCTGTCTTTCCATCTCTTCTCCCTGTCCTCCCCTCCCGCTTCCTAGAAACAGACTTCCGGAGTGTTTCCTGCAGCTTTACCACAGTTAGTGTTCTTTCTAGATGTCAGAACACAGCAAAGTTACCTTCCTTGCCTGAGATCACACAGTGGTCTGAGACAAGGTCAGGGGTTCCGAGCCAAAGCCTTGAGGAGCGCTGTTTTGCTGGGGCCTTGCTGAGCTGTTCACTGTTGAGTGAGCCCGGGACTGCCTCAGTGCTGAGCAGTGTGTTGGTTTTCAGTGCAAAAGGAGCGGAATTCAAGTCTGCCGTTACCTCTGATACGGATAAGCAGAGTCAGCCTTCGTGGCAGGTGTGGCTTGGAGCCACTGAGCGAAGAAAGGCAGCCTATTGCCCTCCAACTTGTGATGATGTCCTCATGTAGGGGTGTACCATGGCTGAAGGCTGCCTCTGCAGTGAACTTGAGCAAGGGCACAGCAGAATCTTCAGGGTAGTGCTCTTTACCAAAACATTCCAAGTCGGACACGAGTGGGGTAAGAACAGTGTGGAACACACTTGTTAGCAGGAGTGGAACAAGGGCAAGAGGGGAAGAAAACAACCTCTCCCCAGAGTTCCACTGGCCTGTGATTCGGATCTGGTAACGGACACCACAACTCTGTTGTCCAGAGTTACAAGTCATCATAAGGAAGTGACATTTGTGTTTACTGCATGGTATAAAGTATATTGTTCCCCCCTGGTCTTTTTAATAGTTCCATAAAGTGCTGCGTTAAGGAGCTCCACCAGGTATCATCATATGGCTACCCGGACTGGAGGAACTTGCCCCTTATTGCAGCCCACAGTAAGTGGCACCATCGTGTCTCTCTGGATGGCTATAGGTTATGTTTGCATGGGTTCCAAAGTGTGTTGTACAGTAGGGTCGTTAGGGACACATTGAGTAACCAAGAAGGCAATGCCTTCAGGCCACATTCCAAAAGTAAATGTGCCATCTGATGTCTAGGGCTTTTCTTCTAGTGTCTCTGGATCGACATCTAGGCCTTACCCCCTGCAGTGTAATGTGGGGGGGGAAGGGGGAGGGAAACAGCAGTTGGTCCAGCTCTGTGTATCGGATGTTGAGTTTGAACAAGATTTAGGCACCACCGGAGCACACATAAAAGCATTACATATATTTTTAAGTAGCTATCCATCAACATCACCCCCCTCCCTTTTTTTTAATCTGAAATTTTGACAAGAATTGGCCAGTTGACAGTTTGATGTTAACGATTTTCAGACAGAGTCTTATATTTAAGAGAGAATGTGTCAATTGACGATGGAACTTTGTTCTTTTTTGGGGGAAAACCCAGATTGATGGCAACTGAATTCTATTTAATAAAATGTGAGTAGCTGCCTACTTGGAATGATAGTCATTTGACCACTGCATGGGTCAAGGTACAGAAAGCTGGGCTCATCTTTAGGAAATAATTCTGCAGTTTGTCTAGTACTTGAAGAAATGATTGATTGAGCCTTGAAGCTTTTACATCATAGAGCATGAGAAGCTCTGGCCTGTAAACTATGAGAGCACTTGTTAGTAGTTCTGCTCAATGACCATATAAAGCCTGAATAATATTCTCATGAATAGCACAGTTTTTATCAGAGTCATTTGATATTGACTGTGTGAATTAGATATACTCTGGTCTCTAAATAAATTTATCTGTTTTAATGAGATAATTGGGTACTAATTAATTGCATTTTGGACAACATCTGCCAAAAATGATTTTAGTTTGGTCTTGTAATCAATTAATTGAGGGTCTGTGCATCAGGAAGGTATGCTCATGATGGAACATGATTTGGAGGAATTTGGGCCTCAAATGGCTGGCTATGAGGATAGCTAACTTTAGTCCTAGTATTTTAGACATGAAGCCACAGAGTTCACTAGGAACCCTAAGTGGAATCCTGGCCTCTAATTGGAATGGAAAACATTTGAGGACAGGGACAGTGATGAACACAAAGCAGAAAACTAAGCAAAAGCAAAAGAAGTGTAAGGGGGATTTCCCAGACCTAGCATCACAGACCCAGACTACACAGTGCTGCACACATACACAGAGACTCTGGGCTACAGAAGCCATTTCCAATCCACTGGCAGAAATCTCCTTCAGAGTGAAATAGCCATGGCTGTACGTGGTGTCCTTGTCCTTTTCATTCGTGTTATTTTTGTTCTGCCAAGGTATCAATCACTAGATCACTGGAAATGTGAGTGTCCTTCAAAAGAAAGGTCTCAAGGAGATGGTGGCTTTTAGGAGTCATGGCTATTGTCAGTAAAGGAAAGCTCTTTTTTGTCCCCGGAGATGTTGTGGGCTTACTAAAGAGTGTAGCTTCCCACTTACCCCATTTGATATCTTCCATTCTGCAAAATGCGGCCCTGAGACAGAAGTTAAGTGGTGACGACTCCACTCCAGAAAGGCAGCCACAGAAATAGCCCTTAGCTCCAGTAGCAGACTTGCTGACTCTTCTTGACCAGGCCTTTTCTACAAGTGTTGGAGTGAAGTTTCTCCTGCTCTTTGGATGGCAAGCATGGGCTAAAACAAATAAATAAAGAGAATGTCTCAAGATAGCTGGAGACATTTTGTTTGGAGCCAGGCGTCTGGAGTTATTCAAATTCTAGACTTGGAACTGTATTGTTTCATAAAACTCAAATGTTGTACATTCATGATAACAATTCTGAATCAAGAACTGACTAAATACTGTTTTCCAGGGCACACACGGTACCTTTTAAATTTGATCACAGAATGTATTTGTAAGCTCAAAATCAAATAATATTTTAGCAGGAAGTTGATGTTGCCATTTGAAGAAAAACAGGTTTGTACTTAAGGCAGACTAAAAATAGAGAGGGAGGGAGAGAGGGAGAGGGAGAGGGGAGAGTGAGTGAGTGAGAGAGAGAGAGAGAGAGAGAGAGAGAGAGAGAGAGACTGGCTTGCACACATGACCGGTATGAAGCCACTGACACTAGAATTTCCATCAAGGAGGATAGCCGGAGAGAACCAAGGAATGTCAGAATCCACATTCATGTTTTCATGCAAGAACAGCCTTGTACCAGCAAACACAGAAGTCAGAGCACCATGGATAATGGCTGGAAACCAGAGATTCTATGGCAATCTGCAAGCCCAGCTTTATGCATTTGCTTATATTTCTGGGGAAACAAGTCAGTGAAAAGAAATCGGTGCAGGGAATGTTGGCAGCATGTGCCTGGGATCCCAGCCCTCAGGAGTTCAAGGCCTGCCTGGGCTACGCAGGGCAATCTTGTCCCAAATAAATACCAACTGCAACAACAGAAGAGGCAATGCAGGCAGGCTAAGGTTTCCCTGTCTCCTCTTTGCCTTCACTCTTTGCGAAGGCCTGGAGGACAGGAGTTCAGTTATGA